GGTTGGTCCCTCAGACCTGCTTCTGGAGCAGAGCTGGCAGTCCTGGCCCACGCACCGCACCCTCCTGCAGGTCCAGCTCTGTGCAGTACCTCGGGGACCCAAGACAAAGGCCCTGAGTTCCACAGAGCTTGGGGTTTGGTAGCACACACGGTCTTCTTAGCACCAGGAGAGGTGTGTTGGTGGTCCTTGGATTCAAGGGTCCCCAAGGCCCATGTGGCGAGGCTTGGCCCCTGCATGGCCCTGTTGGGAGCCCCTCGGAGGTGGGCCTAGTGGGAGGGCTGCAGGCCACTTGGACCTGCCCTTGAGAGTGCGGTACCCTGACCCCCCCCACACTCATTCTTGCTCCATGAATGGTTTTGTGCTGCCACCAACCCCTGCCACGTGCTGCCAGACCCACAGCAAAGAGGGTCACTCCCTCATGGGTGGCACTCCACCACTGCGAGCCGAAATCAACCTTTCCTCTTCACTTCCCCTTGCCTTTCCCCTTGGTCGTTTGCCACAGTGACAGAAAGGTGACCAACACACAGGAGGGACAGGAGGGCAGCTGCCCCCTGTGTGGCTTCACCTCGGCTGCAGAGCTCTGAACCCTGGGGGACTCGGCTCCACCCAGCTGGCTTGTGGCACTAAAGGATGCCCCTCGCCCTCTGTCACACTCCTGGCCATGACGGCACACACACACTTACCTCCTCGTTCTGATAGGCAGTCACTGCTATGAACTGGGTCTCTGGGAAGGAGCAGTTGGTGACCATGCGGTGGGCGCCTCCCACGCGCACAATGTGGACCTGGGGCTCGTACTTGTGCAGGGAGCTCAGCATTATCTGTGGGGGGAGAAGGTCAGAGAGGCCACGCCGAGTCCCGCGTGTCCTGGGGACCCGGCCCTGTGTGTCCTGATGGCCTATAGGATCAGGACCCACCCAAGTCAGGGACACCCAGGCCAAGTCCCGGGTCCCCGGAGCTGCACCCCACCTGGGAGGTTTCTCAGAGGCTCCTGGGGAATGTGACACAAGCCCTTCTGCAGGGGTCAGGGGAGGGGGCCCGGGAGGAGTGGCCCCTGCGTGCCTGGCATTCTGTCCCCCTCCCTTCTTCCCCCCCTGTTTTCAGCACAATGTGGATTTCGGTCCATTACAGCATGTTTTTCTTTTCACGTGAAGAAACCCGATAACTCTGGACGATGATGCCCATCACATTCCACCTCATCTCTAACCCATGACATCATTATCCAAAGTCCATGTATGAGGACAGGAACTGGTGTGAATGTACTTTGTGGACAACCAGAGACATGAAACCGTGTGCTCTATATGTACACCTATATGTACGTATGAATCGTAACACATTCCGCTGTCATAACTATTAATAAAAATATTAATAAAAAATGAAATCCAATATTTTAAAAAAGAAAGAAATCTAATAACTCAAAATGTTGACAGTGGCTGTTTTATAAGTGACTAACAGGCTAAGGACGTCTGGCATCTGGTGGTTACTGTAACCCCTCCTTTATGATTCCAATGAAGGGTATTGAAAGTCCCACTGTGAAATCTGGTAGGCAGCAACACTCCACTTTTCAGTGTCCTGATTTAATAAAGAACGGGAACCTTGGGATGTCACAAAGACTTGGGTGGCATTGCCGGCTTCTCCTCCAACAGGACTGTGCTGAGCACAGAGAACAGAGGCGGCAACAGCTCAGGGCACAGGCTGAAGAAAGCAGGGAGTGGGGCAGCCTCCCCTCCTGCCCTCCCAGGCCCCAGCAGCCTCCCCTGCCTAGGAGGCACAATCCCACCACACAAGTCCAGAGAAACAAGCCTCCAACCCCTGTTTATTCTAATTGGAGCACCTTAAATAAAGCCTTCCTTATTTAAGGTTTGTTATGATTACTTTTTTTTCTGAAAAACCTGAGCTGATTCAATATTCTATTGATAATTATCGTAATGCCCAAGCCGAGGAAGTAATTATTTCATTTAGGAGCAGCTTTTTATTAAGGTATTTGTCTATTGCCAACATGCCACTTACACCAAAAAAGGGGAGAGAGATGAACAAAACCCCGTACCCACAAACATCTCCCCCCCCAGGGCTGCGTGAAAGCAGCGCACAAGACAAAACTCTGAAAGGAGGCCTGATGATTAAGTGAACCAGGCCCTCTCTCCTCCCTCTCCACAGCAGGAAGTCCATTAAAAACTGAAAGCACCAATTAAGAGCTGTTTATTCCTGTTTACTTTTGGACTCCAGGGAATAATTGGCTTCTGTGGGAGAAGAGGCTGGTGAAGACCCCTCTAATTGCCTAAATGCACCCTTGATAGTTCTCCATCGGCGCTGGGGGCGGCCGTACCTGCCCACCTCCGTTGAGCTTGTTGGTCAGCTTCACTTTGCTGAAGGAGATGGGAGCCTTCATCCAGTGGGCCCCGAAGTTGGGGGAGTCGGGGTGGATGTAGACGCAGCTGTGGCTGGAGACCTCTGGCTTGCCCGCGGGTACCCACTCCCCATTGACGTATTTCCAGCGGTGGCTGTCCGTGGGGACAAAGTCCAGCAGGAGGGAGTACATGGCATTGGGGTCCAGTCCTGTGACGCTGATCTTTAGAACAGGAAACATCCGTCTAAAGACAAAAGGGAAAGGCGCTGAGCCACAGGGGGGATGTCGAGGGACCCCGGCCCTGCCCGGGTCTCAGTGCTGAGACGTCCCATAGAGTGGCCTGGAAGGGAGGCCCGTCATGGGGCCCTGCCCCCGGCTCCAGTCCCACTAGAGCCTCCTTCCACAAGCCCTTTTGATATTGGGGTCTGACTTTCAAGTGCCGTGTCCACTCCAAAGGACTCGGAGGAACCCGGAGAGGAGGGACCTGGGGGGAAGGTGGGCCATCAAATGCCACGGCCACAGAGGGCTCTCTTCCAGGACCCGCCCCCTGCGGAGGCCACACAGCCCTTCCCTCGAGGCCTCAAGGCCTCCTTTCTGAGTAGGGGTTGGTGGTGGCACTTAGAGCAACACCTGGTAGCAGGTACGTGAGAGGCTCCTGCCGCAGGTGGACAGGCTCCGCTCCCCCAGACTCCCCAGAGCCCCTAACAGGCTTTTCCCGTGAGTGTGGATGAGCTACGGGCTTGCACACACCCTGAGCCCCTGCGGCAGGGAGCCATCTTTGGGGCATTTTGTGGGGATCTGTGTTTGAGCAGCACAATCCCCATATGCAGGTCTAGATGCTCCGATCCTTCCCACTCCCCAGAATGGCACCAACAAGTTTCCTCTCACAGTCTTTGGAGAAACTACCCAGGTGGCTGGCTTCTGATTCCAGAGCATTTTCACCCCCCAGAGGACCTCCACGGTCACACCCATTCTACCCAGACTTCTTGTCACCAGAAAGAAAAGCGGGGGCAGAAGCTGCTGCCAGCCAGGCAGGAGGGAGGCAGAGTCGGTGGATCCTTTGCTCTTCCAGCTGCCAAAGTCCCCACCTAAGGTAAGATCCTGGAGGGAAGCAGGCTGCCACCTCAGGGCCGGTGTGACAGCACTTCCAAGCTCGTTAGGTGCAGGCGCTGGAGCGAGCACTGGAGAATTAACAAGTTCTTGCAATGAGTTCATGAGGCTGTCTTGGTGAGTTCAAGAAGAAGGAAAAACCTAGTTAAACAGGCACCTGTGCATGAACTGCCCTGCCAGGTGCATGAACTGAATGGAATTTAGGGGGGATGCACCCGAGGATGCACCAGAGTCCACGCTAGAGAATCCGGCTTCGCCTCTCTCCCCACAGGACGGGGCGGCTGCACTTCCTGTCAACCAGCCTGGCCACCCCAGGCTGCCTGTGGCTTCAAATCCTCCCTGATGTATTCTCTTTTGTTCTTTCTTCAACAGAAAATTTTTCTTTTATTGCTTTCTCTTGGTATTAGACTCTTCCCTTGTGCTATATAAAGTTTTCAATGATCTTAATAGTATGGACCAAGGGTAGGCGACAGAAAGCATGTGAAAGCACAAAGGTCATTTGCAAAAATCATAAAAGTGGGCATCAGAAATCATCGTGGGGACAGTGTAGGGTCATTGTGACAGCCAGGAGTCTGGCTGGTTTGCAGGAGGTACACAGAGAAATGGCCTGTCTTTGGAGTCCTGTGGTTTTTATAAAGTGCCAAAGTACTTTACTTTATTACAAAAAACACAAGAATGACATGGTTATCATTGGCATTTCACACACTGAGATGTAAAAATGCCAAAGGTTTTCTCCATAGAATGAACCACAGAGGTAGCTCTGAAAGAGAGGGTCCCGCCCTGAGGAGCCGGAGGGGGGCCCGTGCAGCTAGTTGCTCATGCTCCACAGTGCGCTGTGTTTCCACACGTCAAGCAGAGAGTTCCAGAAGGTCCAGCTTAGAACTTAGGGACAGTGTGACCAGGATGGCTTTTCTGATGCTAATGGTGATGTGCTGCACTTCTATGTGTTCTAATCCAAGCCTCAGTCCCACCCCAAGGGCACAGATACTTGTTAGTTGGCCAGTTTTCTAGCTGAGGCCCTCAGGGATGGGGGCACAGGGTGTTGGCTGTACCCCACGGTCTTCTCCTTATTGTGTTAACGGCACCTTATTTTCCACTCTTTTTTGAGACTTCTAGAAAGTTAATAATTTGGGCCACAGTAAAAGGAAGAGTCCCCTCAATGTTTTCCCAAATCTCAGTACCTAATGGAGATTTATCTTCTCATTTAATGACTGAGTTCCAAACACCTGCTCCAGGCCAGGACCTGTTCTAGTGGGGACTCAGTGACAATCACAGACCTAGTGTCCTGCTCACAAAGCTTACCTCCTAACAAAGAAGACAGCTCAAAACAGGATGGAATCGACCAAGTGACTTTACCTGCATGCACGAGTGTGTGGGGATGAGTGTGCCAGCACGACGAGTGTGCCAGGACGAGTGTGCCAGGACGAGCCCACATCCATGCACAGCTGTGATGCACCAGGGAAAACGAGTCCACAGGAGGAAGACCACGGGCAGAGGGAGACCACGGGCAGAGGGAGACCACGGGCAGAGGGGAGGGAGGAGGCAGCCCCGGGACTGGAATGGAGCAAACCATGTCAGACGCATTTATGAGCGAGTCGAAACAGACCCACGAGTTTGGGGAACCCTAATGCACTAACAAAAATCACTCCAAAAACAGATGCAGAAGAGCCTGTCCATCCTCGGGTGTCCTCGTGCCTGCCCTTAGGTAAACTTGACCTTCACCACATAACACACAGGACGCCCAGGGAGGCACAGTCAGTGTGTCCCAGTGGGTCCTCATCTTTATTGCAAGGGGTGTCCCGCGAGGTGGACCCTCCTTGCTCACCCTTTCACCCAGCGGAGGACACTGGATGGATTTAGTTTGGGATAATCATGGATAAAGCCTCCATAGCATTCACATGTTAAAAAAACGTGAGTGAGTTCTCGTTGCTTCTAGTGTTTCAGTTTAGATTACAAGAGTACGAGGACCCTCTAGCCAGGAACCACAATGAGTGGGGTCACGTGCGGGGGGGCTAAGGGACGAGGGCACGTTAGCGGCTGTGGAAGGGCCTTAGGTCGGCTCAGAATCCACGCTGGAGCCAAGACCTACACAGGGAGCAGGATGGGTCACGCAGGACCCCACGGAGGTGCCCCGGGCCACAGGAGCAGCCGGCACACAGCCCCTGGGCCCTGACTGGCCGGCTGGGAGGATGAAAGAGGAAGCCCGTGTGGCTGAGCACAGGAAGGGGTCTGCAGATCCCAGCCCCCCCAGGGTGGGAGGCCCTCCTGTCCCTCAGCTCCATGCAGCCAGAGACTGGCGGGACCCTCCAGTGCTTGGCGAGAGAGGCGCCCGGGCCCTCCCTCCATTCTGCGCCACGTCTCTGGAGCTCCACGAAGATGCTGCACGTCACCAGCCACCAGAAACACAAGCCACAACTGCAGAGGCAGCGCCGGGGGCCGGCTGAGAGAGAACCAGGACCAACAACTGGTGAGGCTGCCAAGAAACCGGACCAACCCGCGGGCCTCACTGCTGGGCGCGTGAGGTGGCGCAGTCACCCTGGGAACAGTGGGCAGCTTGCCCGATGACATGGAGTGGCGATCCCACCTGCATCCACGCCTACATGTGCCCAGGAAAAATGAAAAGGCCTTCACAAAAACGCATGCAGATGTGTTCATAGCAGCAGCATCACAACTGAGAAAGGCAGAAACCCAAGCCCTGCAGCCCCGCAACTGTGCCCAGGGCAGGAGGTGCCCTGCCCACACCAGGAAGTGCTACCCAGGCAGGAATGAAGTGCTGCCAGGCACTGCCACCCGGTGAGCCTGGAAACCAGCACCCATGAAGCATCACAGACTGGGGGGCACTGACCTGGTGTGTCCAGGGCAGGAAGGCCACAGAGTCCGAAGGTGGACCTGTGGTCCCTGGGGTGGGGGAGTGTGGTGGGGTGCAGGTTCCTTTGGGGGCAATGAGCATGTGTTAAAGTGAATTGTGGAGATGGACGCACAACTCTGTGGATCCACCAAACAGCACTGGCCTGTACACTCCAAGTGGACGATTCGTGTTCTGGGAATTATACCACAACTAACTATTAACAAACACGAAGCGAGAGTCCCTCCTCTTGGTAGGAGAACACCTGAAAGAGGGTCCAAGGGCCAGTCGCTCTTCAGTACTCGTTTGCCAAGAACTTTATAATTCTTCTTGTTTCCTTGTCCCCCGCTGGATGCTAGGACCTGGTGTGGACCTTTAATCTCCATTTGTAAGGAGGAGTGAGCAGATCTGAGACCGCCTCTGAGCCAGGGTCATCTCCATTTCACTCCCCCTCCCTCTGGGCTCACCATCACCTTGGCGCATCCTCTAGGGACACTAGCTACCTGTGGTCACCTCTCAGGCCAGGCTTTGTCTTCAGGGTCAAACTGTACTTCTAAGCAAGCTGGTTTTTTCCATTTTCTTTCTAAAACACAGAGAATTCCCAGTCTTTGAGAGGTTTAGAAATGTAAATCAGCCAGCAGGCAGGGAGGGAGGGAGAAGGGGGTGTGGCAGGTGAACACCAGCTGGGGATGACGGGGTCCCTGCCGCACCCTTGGCTCCTTTGGCTCCTGCTGCCAGGAGGCTTTCCAGCTTTCCCATCTCCTGGGGGCAGACGGAGGTCTGCAGGAAGAAGGGGGGCAGAGATGAGGACTTGTGCTGGAGGGCGGAGTGGGTGGTGCTGGAGGGAGGACTGGGTAGTGCTGGAGGGAGGAGTGGGTGGTGGTGGAGGGAGGAGTGGGTGGTGCTGGAGGGAGGAGTGGGTGGTGCTGGAGGGAGGAGTGGGTGGTGCTGGAGGGGAGGACTGGGTGGTGCTGGAGGGAGGAGTGGGTAGTGATGGAGGGAGGAGTGGGTGGTGCTGGAGGGGAGGACTGGGTAGTGCTGGAGGGAGGAGTGGGTGGTGCTGGAGGGAGAAGGAGTGGGTGGTGCTGGAGGGAGGACTGGGTGGTGCTGGAGGGAGGAGTGGGTAGTGCTGGAGGGAGGACTGGGTGGTGCTGGAGGGAGGAGTGGGTGGTGCTGGAGGGAGGAGGAGTGGGTGGTGCTGGAGGGGAGGACTAGGTGGTGGTGGAGGGAGGACTGGGTGGTGCTGGAGGGGAGGACTGGGTGGTGCTGGAGGGAGGAATGGGTGGTGCTGGAGGGAGGAGGAGTGGGTGGTGGTGGAGGGAGGACTGGGTGGTGCTGGAGGGAGGAGGATTGGGTGATGCTGGAGGGAGGACTGGGTGGTGCTGGAGGGAGGAGGAGTGGGTGATGCTGGAGGGAGAAGGAGTGGGTGGTGCTGGAGGGAGGAGGAGTGGGTGGTGGTGGAGGGAGGAATGGGTGATGCTGGAGGGAGGAGGAGTGGGTGGTGCTGGAGGGGAGGACTGGGTGGTGCTGGAGGGAGGACTGGGTGGTGGTGGAGGGGAGGACTGGGTGGTGCTGGAGGGAGGACTGGGTGGTGGTGGAGGGAGGACTGGGTGGTGCTGGAGGGAGGAGGAGTGGGTGGTGGTGGAGGGAGGACTGGGTGATGCTGGAGGGAGGACTGGGTGGTGGTGGAGGGAGGAGTGGGTGGTGGTGGAGGGAGGAGTGGGTGGTGCTGGAGGGAGGAGGAGTGGGTGGTGGTGGAGGGGAGGATTGGGTGATGCTGGAGGGAGGACTGGGTAGTGGTGGAGGGAGGAGTGGGTGGTGCTGGAGGGAGGAGTGGGTGGTGCTGGAGGGAGGAGGACTGGGTGGTGCTGGAGGGAGGAGGACTGGGTGGTGCTGGAGGGGAGGACTGGGTGGTGCTGGAGGGGAGGACTGGGTGGTGCTGGAGGGAGGAGGAGTGGGTGGTGGTAGAGGGAGGAGTGGGTGGTGCTGGAGGGAGGAGTGGGTGGTGCTGGAGGGAGGAGTGGGTGGTGGTGGAGGGAGGACTGGGTGGTGCTGGAGGGAGGAGGAGTGGGTGGTGGTGGAGGGAGGAATGGGTGATGCTGGAGGGAGGACTGGGTAGTGCTGGAGGGAGGACTGGGTGGTGGTGGAGGGAGGACTGGGTGGTGCTGGAGGGAGGACTGGGTGGTGCTGGAGGGAGAAGGAGTGGGTGGTGCTGGAGGGAGGAATGGGTGGTGCTGGAGGGGAGGACTGGGTGGTGCTGGAGGGAGGAGTGGGTGGTGCTGGAGGGAGGAGGAGTGGGTGGTGGTGGAGGGAGGAGTGGGTGGTGCTGGAGGGAGGACTGGGTGGTGGTGGAGGGAGGAGTGGGTGGTGCTGGAGGGGAGGACTGGGTGGTGCTGGAGGGAGGACTGGGTGGTGCTGGAGGGAGGAGTGGGTGGTGCTGGAGGGAGGAGTGGGTGGTGCTGGAGGGGAAGAGTGGGTGGTGCTGGAGGGGAGGACTGGGTGGTGCTGGAGGGAGGACTGGGTGGTGCTGGAGGGAGGAGGAGTGGGTGGTGCTGGAGGGAGGAGGAGTGGGTGGTGCTGGAGGGAGGAGTGGGTGGTGGTGGAGGGAGGAGTGGGTGGTGCTGGAGGGAGGGAAGAGGCTGGGGGTAGGGAGGTGGGGTCCCATCAGGACCCAGCTTCTGGGGGTAATAGGGAGCTTCCCAGGGAAAACCCTGTCTTCACCACGTCCCCTCCATGTCAGAGACAGGCTCCTCGTGGTGACCATGAAGCAGGTCTGCACTGGGTGGGGTCTCGGCTCTCCCGCGGGCCCAGATCGGCCGTTCCCACTGTTCCCCGACTGAGTACCCCCCGGCTGAAGCTCTTGGAAAACCCACAGAGTCGGCGGTCCTGCAGAGCCAGGCAGGAATGAGCCGGGAGACGTCTGGGCTGGGGACAACACTCTTCTCCCCAGGCAGGGCACCGCCCAGTGTAGGCGGGCTCCCGAGGTCCTGCAGGGGGGGATCTGCAGGAGAAGCAGCGGGGCCTCTGCCAGAGAAGAACAAGTGACATGGGAGAAATGACCAGAAGGAAGAAGGAAAAGGGAGCAAGAAGATGAGACCCAGCAGACGTGTCCACGGGGAGGGACAGGTGCTTCTAGAGGAAATGGCTCAGAGAACAGAGAGACTGAACAGAGGGCTCCCAGATCTGTCTCCCCTCTTTACCTAAAGTATGAAGAGAACTTTCTATCCCCTGGGAAAATCTTGACCCTCAGGGGTCCAGAGACCCTAAGAGAATTTCAGAAAAGCATTTCATTTGCTGGAGGGAACAGACAGCCCGACCCCTGGACCTCAATGGGCTTCTCCTACCGACAGCACCTTTCGCCGGGTTGGCACGAAATGACTTCACGGATGAGAGTTGCAAACTATAGATATGGAAAAATCTTATTTAGGTGAAAAATGTGAGAAACCCTCTTCTTACATGGTAGAAGTACATTCTGATATGATATAACTTCATTGCATTTTACAATGCTTCAGAAATATATTACTTATTCATTATTGAAATAGATGAACTATACTCTCATCAGTGATTATACCTATTTTTATTGTAATGTAGGGCCATTTGAACAGCCAAACAGTGCAGTTAGGTTTCTGTGTGACCCAACAAACAGGAAGATCTATAAACCAAGTTCTCCCTGTGGTCAGACACAGTCAGGATCTTACAATTACATCATCGCTCATCTTTGGAAGAAAGAAACTGGTGACTATGAAGCAGGTCTGCACTGGGTGGGGTCTCGGCTCTCCCAATTAAAAAATTGGAGTGATTCCTTGATGTTAAAAAAATATGTTTTATATATTTTTCTCTACCAAAGAGACCAAAAATAACATATAAACACAGATCAAGAGACAGAATAGGGTACTTACAATTACAAATATTAAAATCAATTTTAATTAATTTATGTATTTATTAATCTTCCATATGTCTTAAGTACATGACCCATTTAGAAAGAAAAAAAATGTCACACAGAGCAAGGCTGAAGGTATAAGCACACTTCATTGGAATGCCCTTGATTCTGCTATAACTTTCTTCATGAAGCACCTTAACTTTGTGCAACAGCTTTCAAGCTCATAATTCTGGACAAGGAATTGTCAATTTTCTATGCTGTGTTTTATCAAGAAACCAGAAGCCAAGACTTCAGGAATGGAAGCATTTTGCACAAGGACAGCCCTGTCCGGAGGAACCCTGCTCAAGAGGCTTCCAGTGCCTCGCGGACCTGATGCGTGAGCATCACTGACTGCTGGGAGCCAGGGAAGGCCATGTGATTTATTTCAAAAGATTTGCTTCTCCTCTCCTACGTGAAAGCTGCTTCTATTACCTTGACAGCTTTGGAACAGACTAGATTTAATAGAATCCAAGAAATGCCAGCAGAGATCCATTTCCATTAATTCCTAATTGATTACAGTGAGAAAAACGGAGGCGACTTTTCCCTGTGGCAGTGTCCTATGGCTTCACCTCTCTGCCTGCCGCGACTGTCACATATCACAGACACCATCACAAGTGGACACTCCACGGATCACATGCGGGGGAAGCAGACGGAGGGGCAGGCAAGGAGATTACATCTACCCTTTGGCTGCCACTCTTCAACTTTTCAAAAATTTGCTGTACTTAAGAGGAGACCATTCAGCCTCCAAATAAAATGGACTTCGGATTCTCTGAACAGAGGTGGAGCCCAGGTCTGCTCCAGAGACACAGTCAAAACTCAGCGCTGTTTTCTGATACTGGAGCGCTCAGCCCCCTCCCACGGGGCACGCCCCCCTCTGCAGAAATCCCCTGGAACTTCTCCACTTAAACATGTAAGACCGGGGCTTCATCTTTCACTTCTCCGATGATCTGAGAACTAATTAAGTTGGCTGGGGACAGCTGAGTGTGTCTGATCAGACCGGTGCCTCTGAATCGAGAGTGGTCGCCTCTGCCATATACAAGGCTCTCCCCCCCTTGCTAGCTGGGTGCGCCCAGGCAGGGCAGAGGGTACACTCACCTGCCATTTTTGGTCACGATCATTTCATTAGTGACCTCCTTGAACCTCTGCCAGAGGGGAGCGTCCTCCAGGATGATGCGAAGTTGCTTCTCGGTGGGGTCTCCTTTCTCCCTGCCCGCCTGGAGCTCACTCTCCACCACATGGAGCAGGCGGGAGACGGTGCCGTCGCTGGTCCTCGGCGTGCCCAGCTCACTCATGGCACCGGCCCTCTCAAACTTTGCGGAGAGCTGTCAGCACCTTGCCCACTTCTAACCCCTTCCTTCCTCCTTCCCGCTTTTCAACCCAGCTGGCCAGCGCCCGGGCAGTGGGAGGGCGGCGCCCAGGCTCCTGCCTCAGCTCCTAGTGTGACACCCCGTAAAGTCCCCAAATTATACCACCAACCTGTTAAGCCTCATTGGGGAGCAGGGAGGAGGGAGGGGGAGAGGTGGGGAAGAAAAAGCCCTCTCTTAATTACTCACTGGGTCAGGTGGAGGGAGCCGGCTCTCCCATTGGCCGCCCTGCCTGGAGTAGCCGTTTAAGAAGAGTACTCCATCCAAATTATCAGGCTTTTATCTTGTTGTACCTGAAGAGGTCTAATCGGTGTATTGAGGACCATTTTCCCGTTAATTAAAATTATTCCGGGCCCAGACTGCAACAATCAGGCAAATCCTGTTTGTATGTAAACCATGGCATGTGGCACCTACGGGAAGAGGTTCTCGGGGGAATCAGCCAACTTGGTGCCACCAGGCTGTCCCGCTACAGCAGCACCAGGGCCCCCAGCTCGGCTCCTGTGCCCTCGCTGACACCGAGCCCCCAGAGAAGAACCGTGTCTGTGGAGGTGGAAGACCGTGCCGAGAGGCCCCACCATCCCGGGGGCAAGGGGACACCTGCGTGCCCCGAGCCCGGGCAGAGGCACGAGTGAGGCCTCCTCCTGCAGGATGTCCCCGCTGGCCACCTCTCTCCCGAGGGTCCTGCACACCACCCTTCTCATCTCCAGGGCCCCATCTGCCTCCAACAAGCAGAAGAGCTTTGAACCATGTCCTCGCTCCCTAGAAGCCAGAGCCTTGATTTTTCTTGTTTCCCCCACAGCCAGAGAGATTCAAATATGTATGTATCATATCATTCTCCCTGCAAAGCACTCGGCTCCAGTAAGAGAGACCTTTCACATTATGCACAGTGATTTTACTCATTGGTCCCAAAAGGTGTTCTGCTCTTCCCTTCACACAGCCCGCGGCCTAGTGTGGCCTTCCAGGAGGGAGGAGGGAGGTATCCCCCATTCCCCGAAGACACAAGTGTGTTTTTACCCACAGTACTAAGGCACTCACAGTACTAGTGGACACACGGTACTAAGGCACTCACAGTACTAGTGGACACACAGTACTAAGGCACTCACAGTACTAGTGGACAACCGTACTAATGTACTCACAGTACTAGTGGATACACAGCAGTAATGCACTCACAGTACTAGTGGACACACAGTACTAAAGCACTCAGAGTACTAGTGGACACACAGTACTAGTGGACACACAGTACTAAGGCACACACAGTACTAATGCTCTCACAGTACTAGTGGATACACAGCAGTAATGCACTCACAGTACTAGTGGACACACAGTACTAAAGCACTCACAGTACTAGTGGACACACAGTACTAAGGCACTCACAGTACTAATGCATACACAGTACTAAGGCACACACAGTCCTAGTGGACACACAGTACTAAGGCACACACAGTACTACTGGACACACAGTACTAATGCAGTCACAGTACTAGTGGACAAACAGTACTAAAGCACTCACAGTACTAGTGGACACACAGTACTAAGGCACTCACAATACTAGTGGACACACAGTACTAAAGCACTCACAGTACTAGGGACACACAGTACTAATGCACACACAGTACTAGTGGACACACAGTACTAAGGCACACACAGTACTAGTGGACACACAGTACTAATGCACTCATAGTACTAGTGGACACACAGTACTAAGGTACACACAGTTCTAGTGGACACACAGTACTAAGGCACACACAGTACTAATGTACTCACAGTACTAGTGGACACAGTACTAATGCACTCACAGTCCTAGTGGACACACAGTACTAAGGCCCTCACAGTACTAGTGGACACTCAGTACTAATGCACTCACAGTACTAGTGGACACACAGTACTAAGGCCCTCACAGTACTAGTGGACACTCAGTACTAATGCACTCACAGTACTAGTGGACACACAGTACTAAGGCCCTCACAGTACTATTGGACACACAGTACTAAGGCACACACAGTACTAATGCACTCACAGTCCTAGTGGACACACAGTACTAAGGCCCTCACAGTACTAGTGGACACACAGTACTAAGGCACACACAGTACTAATGCACTCACAGTACTATTGGACACACAGTACTAAGGGACAAGGAGTAGGAGCTGGGAGCTCATCAAGGAACAATGAGGAGGACTGCCAAGACAGGACCCACATGTGATAGGCCTAGCTTGTGCCAGGAAGGACCAGCAGGAGCCCAGCGAGTCTCGAGAGAGGGGCAAGGACGTGCTCGGCCAGGCAAGGCTGACCAGGCACCACAGAGGGGCGGGGTTTCCTCCTGTGAGAGCAAACGGTGGAGCGTGTGCAGCAGGAAAGCCGCTTGGTCTTCTTGTGTCTTAACCTGGCTGCGTGTAGAGCATCAACCCGACAAAGGTGGGAGCTGGGGTGGGGGAACCAGCACCAGAATCAGCCCTGCCTGGCACTGCCCATCCCCTGGGCTGGCACCGTGTCCCCGCAACGAGGAGACCGCCGTGGTTTACCCAGGACAGGCAGGAGGAGGTGAGCGCGTGGAGAGAGATGGGCAGCTCCCCAGGCAGACAAAGTCCAGGGTCTGTCTCCACGGAGCCGAGGATGGTATAGACAGTGACCCTGGGTGAGTGGGACTCTCGTAGCCCGTTCTCAGCCTGATTTTCCCACGCACACGTGCAAAGCTGGAGAAGCGCTATTCACACACACCTCGAGCAGCGCGAGAGCCGCCTCCCGGACAGGGCACATAAGCTCTTGTAGAGAGCAGAGCCCTTCCACACCTCGGCGTCTCCAGGCCAAGGCAGTTCCCCAGTTTTGTACTGTGGAGCTAGGATCAGGCTCAGCTCCCTGGACATCTCAGAGGGTCATATCAGTGCCAATACCAACTGGGCCCAAGTCCAGCCACGGGTCCAGCCTGTAACAACCGAGTAGCTCACCTGCAGAGCAGCCAGCCAGGTTGAAGCAGGAACCTGGAAGGCTGGAAGAGGAGTGTCTCTTTTAAGTGTCTGGGCTACCTGATGTGTTTGACTTTATCAGGAGGCTTATGTAGCTTTGATGGACAGCTAGCAGTGCAGTTAGTGATTGACACGCGCTAGTTTTCTATTACTACCTAACAAATTGCTGCAAATGTAGCAGCTTAAAACAGCGTATCTGTATTATGTCAGTTGACAGGGTTGGAAATCCAGGCACAGTGCAGCTGGATGTCCTACTCTGGACCTCACAAGGCTGTACGTAGTCAACACAGTACTAAGGCACACACAGTACTAATGCACTCACAGCACTAGTGGACACACAGTACTAAAGCACTCACAGTACTAAGGCACACACAGTACTAATGCACTCACAGCACTAGTGGACACACAGTACTAAGGCACACACAGTACTAATGCACTCACAGCACTAGTGGACACACAGTACTAAATGTCATCTGAGGCTTGGGTCCTTTTCCGGGCTGCTCGGCACTTTTTGGTTGTGGGACTGCAACCCTGTGTTCCTAGAGCTGCCCATCTCCACCAACAGAGCAGAAATGGCTGTGGGCTTTCTTCCTCCAAGCTAGGACAACTGCTGCCTCTTGTCCTGCTGAAGAGTTCTCCAGATTAGGTCAGACCCACCAAAGCTAGTCCTTTTTCCTTAACTCAAAGTGAACTGATTTGGAATCTTGATCATGTCTACAAAAGCCCTTTTACTACATAATAGATATAACAAAATCATTGCAGTGACATCCATCCTATTTGGGGTTCCTGCCATCGATCAAGGGGAAGGGAATATGTAGGCACAATCATCACAGGACTCAGAAATCTTAGGCACCATCTTAAAACTCTGAAAGGAACCAAGGAAAAAAACTGAAGCCTTTATGAACTACTAGGAAAAAATATATATATATATATACATATCTCCAAGAAAAAAAATGCAATCAAAGAAACAGTTTTAAGAGTATAAATACTGTATATTTATTTAATAAAAATTATGAAATTGGGGTGATGTAGGCAGGGGAACCCAGTATTACAGAGAAGAAGAGTGGTAAATCATCATCTTCCTCACTAGGAAGACAGTGATATAAAGAATCAACAGATAGCAGTACAAATACAGTGTTTAGAAGTCTAGAGACAAGCTGGGCGTGCTGGCACATGCCTATGCTGTAGCTCCCGGAGGCTGAGGCAGGGGATCACAAGTTCAAAGCCAGCCTGGGCCACTTCGGGAGACCCTGTCTCAAAATGGAATAAGGAAGTGCTGGGGAGGGATACTGGCCAATTCCTACTGTTGGATTGTGTGCGGGACAAATATGCAACAGCAGACCCGACCACGATAGTGCCACCAACTACAAGGCACCCGTAAAAATGTGGAACAAACTGGGCCACAGTATTAGGCACTATTGACCCCATTTTCACAAATTAAAAAAGTAAGAAGAAATCCTGGGATGCAGCTCAGGGGTGGAGTGCTTGCCCAGAATGAAGGAGGCCCTGGGTTGAGTCTCCAGTATGAAGTAAGAGGGAGGGAGCGAGAGAGCGAGGAGAAAGGAGAAGTCTGGAGATGACCGGCAGGAGTCCCAGTAGGAAGAGAGGACGTGAGGGCCTCTGGGGGGGGGGGGGGCAGGTGATTGCTATTTTTCCTTCCTGTAATTTTTTTCCAGCATGTGAATCATGTGAATAAATGAAAGACTGACAAGATTTATCATTTTATTTATTAGTATTTATTTATTATTTATTATTATCATGTTTTATATATTATATTTATTATTTATTATTTTATTTATTATTTTAGATATATTATTTTGCAATTTATTTTTTTAAATTTAACTCAATGTATAAAGAATATTTTCTCATGTCATTGAATAATTTTTTCCACTATTATTTTGACCCTTGCAAATTATTTCATCTTATAAATAGGTCATGTTCCAATCTTCTTTTATATTCATTGCTTCTTCATTTTTATAATTTTAAACACTCAGATAAAAATTCTG